TGTTAATTTTATTTATTTATTTGCATAAATTTATTTTACTTGTGTTCTCTTACTTATTTTGTATATTTTTATTTATTCTTTTCGGTTATCGATTTTTAATTTTTATCGTTTCTATAGCAGTCATAACTATTGTTTCGTATAATTTTTGGATAGATTGTTGTAACCTCTTCTAATGCTTATTTTGGCTAGAGTGGTTTGTTGACAATTTACTTACTTTTTTACGTGGGTTGATTATTTTAACTTGTTTTTCTTATTTATTTTTCTTCTTCTTTATTCCTTTTCGTTTATTCTAAGAGGAGTGGTTTGTTAATTTATTATTTGCTAAGGTTAAATTATTTTACTTGTTTTTTATTTTTATTTTGTTTGTTTTTATTTATTCTTTTCACTTTTCGACTTTTAAGTAACTCAGTAAGAATTTGTTTTCCTTTCTGCATTTTGAGATGAGTTCAGATCGTTTATTAAGTAGTTTGTTTCCTCTGGAAAGGAAATAATAGATATTCTTAACTCCAAACAAAGTTTGCAGGTTAATGATTGATTACTGTAGGCTGATGATATATTTTCCTTAATTTTCCATGATAGATATCTCTCTCTCTCTCTCTATATATATATATATATATATATACACACACACACACATAAATACATATACATACATATGCACATATACATATGGATAGTAAAGCAAAAGTAACTACGTAAAGTGCTCAAAACGCTAAGTAGAGTAAACCTAAATATGAACCTAAAGAGCCATATACGGATCGTCAGTGTCAACATATATATAAGTCAGTGTCTGCAGGCTGTTAATTTAGCATGGAGGCGCATCAGAGACTGATCAGCTCTGATAGGGTCGACTTGGTGAGGATAGTATGGTGTTTGAAAGACCCGAAACTGCCCAATGATCCTATTGGAATAATCCATACTAACCTTTCACCCCTTCGGTATAATGCACCTTTGCACCAAATAACATAACAACCAATCAACACTCTAATTTCGGCAAGGGAGACTTCTCATTGGTCCAGACCCTTGGAACAATAACAAGTTCACGTGAAAATGTCTTTTCGTACCCAACGGCCTGGAGCCAGTTTTATTTGTCCGAAATCTATATAAAGGAAAATCCAAATTGACTCAAAGTCAGATTTCCACTCCTGAAGAGATGCCAAACAATTCCACGCAAGTCAAAACCTTGACCAAATAACTTTTACCGCACAAAAACAATAAAAAACTTCTTTGACTCAGCAAATAGCAATCACGCTCTCTCAGGAATAGTTTCAAACAATCATTTACAATACTTCAGAAAGTAATATATACTTACTACCAAACAAGTATTTGTAATTAATCAAACTTCTAACACAACTGAAGGTACGCAACTTCTACCAACTCGGAATATTAATGCAAGATAATTTACGCACACACACTAAGGACTGAACTCGCACAGGAGACATTTTTATTTACGTTTAATTACATAATTTAATTTCGTGCACAAATCTCAACAAAAGCTTTACGTTCAAACTCCACAAAAACACTCTTCATAAATTAACTTAGCTATCCTCAATTACATAAATATATCCAAAGTATATGTATATGTAAATTGTACATAAATTGATGTTATTTTTATGGCTTTAATAATCTTTGTTTTACTTTGATCCATCTTGCATGTTTTGTCTTCAATGCCGTGGATAAATGTTTTAGAATACGCACATAAGTAATCCTTCTGATAAATCAACATACATTCGCCAGTCTATATATATATATTTATCTACCACTACCATCACCTGAAGAAGTAGCAACTTAGTACTCAAACGTGAAAGTTTATGTAGTAATGTTAATATTTATATATATATATATATATATATATATATATATATATATATATATAAAATTACACACATATATATATATATATAAAATTATATATATATGTGTGTGTGTGTGTGTGTGTGTGTGTGTGTGTGTGTGAATATGTATTTGTGTATGTATGAGAAAAATGTTTAAAAACTTAAAAATATGATATTGACAAATTCGCCTTTTAAATTTTTTGTAGGTACAATATTTTAAAGTACTTTGTAAAATGCAAATATTTTATACTACACAAATTTTAATAAATACAAAATTTGAAGAATAATAAAGACAACTGCAGAATTAGCGGAGTTTTTATTTTTAAGATATACAAAAAAAAAATCACTGGTTTGGAGTCAGGGATTGGGAGAAGCTAAAACTAGCCTGGATCAGGGGAAGTAACTCTTCATCTTGGCAGCAGGACGGGAGAATGGACTGGGTGACTAATGAGACAAGGGAAACAACTCTTCAGTTTTTCTCTTCAGTAGTTTTTCCTTTGAACGCTTAAACATGATGGCTGGTTGGGAAAATGTGTACATACGTATCCAACCATTGACTGACAATGAAACTGAGAGGGAGAATGGGGAATAATTTCAAAGACTGCTATAAAGAGTTGGAGGGGAAGCAATATCCTTAAGATTTAAAAAAAAAAAAAAAAAAAAAAAAAAGTCTATCAGTATTGGCCATTGAAGAGAAAAATTAGAAAATTATCTACATTTTTTTTTAAAAATATGTAATTTTTTATTGTAAAAATGTCCTTTTTGATTCTGATTGCTTTAAATTTATTACATTTACTGGTAGACTACAAAAAATGCAGGTTGGCTGTTGAGGATTAGAAGAGAGAGATGGGGTCACCAGGTGAAAAAGAACCAGTCTGACATTTGGACATACACAGTATGCAACATTCTCTCTAAGAAAAAAAAAAAAAAAAAGAAGGTAATAACACAGCTTTTCTATGATGGCAGTCAATGGAGAAAAGGTCTTTTGGAAAGGAAGATACAAAGAGTACCATTTTTCTTTTTACATCAGCTGGGTCAGAAAGAATGAATGAAAAATAAAAAATGAAACATTATTTGCATCATTAGCATTATAAGGTGGGGCGCTAGCAGCAGCAGCAGCTCTTACCCAAGAGGAACACAAATATTGATGCAGACAGCAGGGCAGCTCTCTCAGTGCCTGGCAGAGCCACATAGGAGGGTCATTCAACAGAGATAGAAAGGAGAAAACACGGTTAGGGAGCCAGAGAGAACAAGGCATGCAAGCCACAATATTAGGTGTAGAGCCATTTAGTTAGCACTCATCCATACATATCTAAACAAACATGACATAAACACACATGACAATTGGGATGTGCCGTATCTCTACATCAAACGACAATCATCGCAAATTACCAAACATTTGATAAAATAAACAACATTCCTTATTACAATTTAAGCAAATCATGCTTCCATTAAAACTTTCTATGAGCTGTGAGCAAAAGTTTTCATCAAAAAACTGTATTTAAGAAAAAAAAATTTGCACACATCTAATAAAAAATTTTCAGTAGTATTGACGGTTTTTGAAAATTGCTTATGATAAAGTGATAACATGACAAGCCTCCCTCAATATATAAGAATTTTTCTTTGATTTTTAAAATGCTTTTGTTTTTTTGGCTTTCAATATATTTTGAAAGATTTCACTTGATAATTTTCTTCTATAATCTTTAAAAGGAATTTTGAAAATATAAGACCAACAAGTGATTTTTTTTTTTTGATTTTTTTTATCATTCCCAACTAATTTATTCTCCATCTCCCAAAGATTCTTTTGATGGCTTTATAAGACAGAAGCAGGGATCAACATTATTCAAATCCAGAGCTTTTAAAAAGAGTGGGGAGGGGATGAAATCAATATTTACATATTAAATGAGTGCTGATTTATATATAAACATAAGAAAAAGGGTCTTATGATGTGAATATCAATGGTTATGTCTTTACATTCTAACACAAATTACAGGCCCATTCCAAAAAGGGAGTTCGGATTTTCTTTTTGTTAATAATCCTGGCAAGCATTAAATATTAACTAAGAATCACAATAAAATGACATGTAACAAAACATCAATTCAGAGAAATAGATTTCACATGTACGCACTTTTCTTTTAGAGGCTCACTATTGACAAATGTTTCTTTTGAACAATCTTTGATTCAGTTTATTCCTAAACTGCATACCAAGAAAAGGTAAGTACACAGGTGTAGTTGCACATACATGCATACAGACAAGTTTTTAATACGTGTACACAAATATAATCACATCTAAAGACATGCACTCAGATACAGGTAACATTTATACAGACCATCACGAAGATGCTAATACATACAAATACACAGATATACATGGAGCTATAATGAGGTGACAATAGAAACAGATGATCAAATGTAAATTATAAGAGTCAACTCACATGCACAAAGGTAGTGAAGCCAAACAAACTTATAACCACATGCACAGATTTGGGTGTATATAACACACACATGCACACACTTACACGTGCAATCCATTATGCAATGATATATCTGTACAGAGATGTATGAATTTATGTATATTTTACAAACATACACAATTATTATTATTATATATATATATATATATATATATATACACACATATATATATATATATATATATGATAAACAATGTAACAGTGATATAGAATCACATTTTAACTCCTATTTACACAGAAAGCCATCAAATGGTTTTGCAACACACAGATGTGCAAACATATACATATTGCCCAACGCTGTGTACATGCGATGATGATATTCCAGACCAACTGAACCTCTGCTCTGCTGCAAAAAAAAAAAATTTTTTAAAAAATTAAATTTTGTCACATAACATTTCTCATTTCCTTCTGACAGATTTTGTCATTTTCTCTTTTATAAATTTGCTTTTTTTTTTTTTTTTTCCTTCTAGTTATTTTTTTGGTTCCAGATTTTATTAATCTGAGTTTTGCTATGAGAGTCATCCCTGCCAACAGCTTAGTTGAACAAGCTATGCAGGAATTGTGGCCCAGTAACCAGCATACTTCCAACACCAGAATGTCCATCCATTTAGAGAAGACAATAAATAATGCTTGTTTGGGGGCTGGAGGTGTTGTCATAAAGAAAAGTCCACAGAACAGTCAGTCTTTTGGGTCAGGACAAGATGGCCTTACTGCAAGTCTGGAAAGAAGTCAAGCCATCCAAACTAGCTGACCGTTTCAAGTCTTTCTTCAGCCACATTTTCATTTTATCTTCACATACACTGGACATTGCCTATTAAACAGATTAAAATGAATAAATAAGAAAACAACCAAATGTTGGAATAATTAATGACAGAGAGACAACAATTTAGGGAAAAAAGTTTTGCTCAAAATGAATTACTCAATAAAAAGTAGAATTATTCTTGTGAGCCTTTCTCCACCTCATATTTGCTTTTTTTATCACAAGACTTGGACAATGAACTCAAAAGTAAAAGTCAAAAGCACAAAATTAGAAATAAATTCCAATGAAACTTGCAACCCAGACTACAAAAGCCCATTTGTCATGGTGTGACTTGAACCCTAAAAGCCTTCATGATTAGTGGGAGGGGCACAAATCTAGTCTTTCTACCACCAAATGCTCAATTTTCTATTTTGCTACTGAGTGTTACTAATTATTTTCTTTTTTAGATAAAGCATTTTTAATCTGGATTTCTCGGATAAGGAGTAATTTACACACTGTCTAATGTCCTCATCTTTGTTGTTATCACAATATTTTTTTGTTGTGTCTCCAGCCTTTTTTTTTTTTGATGTCTGTAAATTCAGGCAACCTTTGGAATTGGAAATCAAGCCCTTTATTTAGATTGCTCATGTCTACGGATAACTAATCTTCTTCTGAAACAATACAAAAAACAGAAAAAGATGAGTAAAGTCATAAGAAATTGTGTACATGCAAATTAATTCAAGGATAAAGTATTGACAAGATTTACAAGTCTGAAGAAAATGCAAGAAAGCATCTAGTCTCAGGAGTTACAAGAATCATGAATTGTTGGATATATGTAGCCAACTGTGATGAATAGTTAAATTATCTGATAAAAATTACTTATACAAGCCATATAAATATTCATTGTTTGAAACCAAAGATGTTGCAAAATTAAAAGCTAAAATCCTTTCACTTGTAAGTGAATGTTGCTACAAATCAAAAAGCTAACCATGACTCTTACTACTGTTATTAAAATTGAGTACACAATACAGAGATTCCTTCATTACTCCAAGAACTGTAGAAAGAAATATATATATATATATATATATATATATTATATATAAATAAACAGAGAGAGATTTCTTTTGTCTACAGTTATTAATAAATCTTGTGAAGAATACAACATTTGTAAAAAAATAAATTTCAGTTTTTCCCAGTCCCACAAGCTGAAATCAAAATACCACAGAGCCGAAGTTAATTTCTAATTGGTTTCAGGTAAATGCAACAAACCTTTGATGATCCACTAAATAACAGACTTTATTACCCATTACCTCATATACCTTTATTAGTTATATTAATTATTAAATATATAATATTATATTAGTTATATCTGATGCTTTATTGAACATTGGGGGCGGGTATCAATTATAACAAATTAGTGAATGAACAAATCATTATTTAAAAGTAAATGATTTCATTCCAATATTTGTTTGAAATGAAGAAGGCCCAAGAATAGGTCAACCATAACATTTTTTTATAAGAATATGAGCAATACTTCTTATTTTGCTCATTTTGTTATCATAAGTTCAATTGTCCAAATCTTTGAATGTTCATGATTCTTTACAAATCCTAGACAATGATATTTTTATGATTATTTTACTTAATTACAAAGACTAAATAGAATTTATAAATGTTCTATTATATATATATATATATATATATATATATATATATATATATATATATATATATATATATACACACACACAAATCCAACCCCTCTTGTAACTGTAGAGATAGAAATAACTGCCCTTGGCAGGTTCAAATGTTTAACTACTAGTATAGCCTATAAAAACCAGGTGGACCTAATATGTTTTATATTGGTGTTACTGAAGGGCCATGAAAACAAAAATACTACAACCACAAAATTTCTTTCGCAAGAAGACAGTACACCAACACCACAATGTGTTTCTATACATTTGTAGACTAGGATAAAAGTAGAAAACCTTCAGAGGTGGAATCAAGAATCTTAATGTAAACATTTAAATGCAAAGCAGGATCTAAAAGTTTTCGATTATGCCTTGGAATAGAACAGACTTTTGAATAAAAGTTTGAATTATTTTCCAAATGTAGTCATGACAACAAATGCCTGCTCTGCTACTGATTCATCAATTAAATGTTTATGCATTCTTCCTTGGTTGTCATAAATAAAATCAACCTGGTAGTGACATTGCACACATTGCAGTACCAGTTACACTTTTTCTTCTTCATTCTTTTATACTAATAAATAAGTCTGTAGTCTAATAATGAAAAGTAGTTAAATGTTTATTTTTCAGAAATAATTGTGGTGAATGTTAACTAGCATTACACAAGGAAAATTCAGCTCATAATTATGTATCAGGCTGCAATCTTATTAATGATCTACCCTCATATAAGCAAGAGAGAGAGAGAGAGAAAGAGAGAGAGATACCAATTGCCTGTTACTCGTACTCACCTCCAATTTGAGAGCACGCTCTTTACTGAGGGCCTCCAGAGGGAACGATAAATCATGTGCATCAGCAAGAGCTCGTAAATCAAAATAATACTTTGCATAAACACTGGAGGGCACATTGATGTTGAACTGGAGCATCTCCAGAAACAACCTTTCCAATTCGTTCCTGGAAATAAAAAAATGGTAAGATAGCCAGGGTAAGTTGAAGAATTAGATTCATGCTTTTCTCAAAAGGCACTAATATAAAAGAATTCCAGTAACAGAGTTCTATTGATGAATTCTTATCCAGCTATTACAATTCTTATTAGTGCCAGAAATGAACATTAAATTATACATTCATTGGTCATTATTATGCATACTCTTCTAGTACCAGGTTGGATTCACGTTTACCTTTAGAACTGCCACAATTATTCTTGGCATGGATTCAACAATACTCTAGAAGCATTCTTCCAAAATTTGGATCTATGCTGACATTATGGCATCACACAATTCTTATAGATTGGTTGGCTGCATAATCCAAGATTAGAGTCTCTCTTCCACCACATCCCAAAGGTACTCTATGGGATTGAGATCTGGTGAGTGTGGAAACCACTCAAAAATTCTGTGTCCCATGAATCAATCTGCCACTATTTTTTTTTTATTTTTTTTTTATTTGTGACATGGTGTATTGTCCTGCTTGGGTGGAGGAATTAGAGGATAGGTGCACAGTAGTCCTAAGTTGAGGCACATGGTCAGCCACAATAATTGTGACATTTAAACAATCTTTTATTGAAACCAAGAGTCCTAGTGTATGCCAAGAAAATATTTCCCCACACTATTACACCACAACAAGCACCAGCCCGAATCATTGATACAAGGCAAGATGGATCCATGATTTTCATATTGTTGATGCCAAATTCTGGCCCTCCATCCATTGAGGCCAGGCAACACTTTTTTTTTTATTGTCCAATTTTTGTGATTATTAGTGAATTTTAGCCACAGTTTTTTGTTCTTGTTTGAAAGGAGTGACAACCAGAATGGTCTTCTATTGCTGTTGCCCATCAGCTTCAAGTTTCAATGTGTGTTCAGAGATGCTCTTCTATAGACCACCATTGTAGAGAATGGTTATTTGAATTAGTTTCTCCTTCAACCCCTTTTCAACAACAAGGAATTACAACCAAACTGGAATTGTCTTTTTTTTTTCTAACCATTCTCTGTAAACTCTAAAAATGATTTTGTGTGAAAATTCTAGTAGATCAGCAGATTTCAAAATACTTCAAAATACATTCAAAATCACTTGAATCAGTTTTCTTTCTCATACTATTGTGACACACACCGGTGGTCGCAGTCCAGCGCCAATATGTCATGTCCACTGGTTGTGACGTCAATATATGACACTGCGCCATCAGCCCGTGGTCAACTCCCAGTTGTGGCGCGAAGCTGTAAGGTTTCTTCCACCAGCGTTTTGGGGTTGACTCCTTGTCGCTGACACCAGCCTGTCTTCCAGTCGATCTGGTTGTTTCTGATTCGATAACAGCTTTGTCGTTCTCCAATGCTTGGTCACCGAAGTAACTGCTTTGATCTCAAGTCTAACCTACCCACGTTGTGACTTTGATCTTAGGTAGACAAAATCAATCAGGCATCGGGCCATAGTGCAAGCTGAATCCAGGGTAAAGGTGATACTGCACAAGCGTAAGTAAAAAAAAAAAAAATAAAACCAACTCAAGAGGTTCAAATATGTTGAGAAATAACAATTATCTTTATCTATCTGTTGAATACAAGAGTGTGTTTCTCTCCCAGCCCTTTTCTATGGATTCATGACACTTTTTGCGTTTCTTAAGCGAGTTATGGTATCTTAAGTCGTTCATCAATAAAAACTTGCTTTTGGTAGGAAGACTAAGTCAAGAGGACATGAAAATCTTTCGATCAGCTTCTGCGGGGCTGGTCTCCAACTGCAACTCCAAAATCTCTTGAAACTCTGTTGAAAAACTCTGACTAGCTGCTTTGAGACGTTCGTTTATATGGACACCGACCAACTCCAGTGTGGGGGCCTGTTGTGGTTTGGGTTCCTTGACAATTCTCAATTCCCAACAAGAATTCTCTTTGTTCTTAGGCCAGGAAAATTAACTACTTCCCATTTTTGGAAGATTAATCACTTTCCACTTTGGGGTTCCTCCATCGTCTGTGAGGGAAGGTCAGAAGAGAGTTATCCTCCTAGACTCTTCCTCTCTCACACTGGTATCTCATACCAATCCCCTCATACATTCACCTCCGCCTATCACCCATGCTACCACTTAGCCAATGATCTCTCAGCAGTGTTAGTATGGCTAAACCAGCCCTCTTAGAATTATTCCAGAATTTTGTTTACAAAATCCTTCTTTTTTTTCCTTTTCCTTCGGCCAAAACATTTACAAATCCCAGATTGCCAATTCTTTATCACATCCCAAATCCACTTAGCTCAGACCTCTACTGACTCATTAATCATTGTCAAAAAAAAAAAAAAAAAAAGAAGCCAACCCTTGAGTTCTCTGCCAGTCAACGATCAAGTGGGTGGTTGTGTTTACCTGATAATTAAATTCTTTATTTTTCTCATGTCTTAAAATTCTCTTATCACCAAATGCTCATTTTCGAGGTGCTATGTCTGACGTCAACAGTTTGAATAAGCAATAATAATGATCCCCTTTTCATGTCAAGATTCGTGCATATACCAGATGGCTTCCCTCGCTGGAACCAGGAACTAAAGTTAAATGATATCTCTGAAAGATAATATCTACTCTCCAGGGTGGTCCCAAGCCAAATTTTCCCCATGGCCGCATGCATCGACCGGCATTGTTTTTCTTCAGAATTCTGTTTCATTTGGCATGTCACTCCCTTATCGTTACATTAATTAATTTTGACAGAATCACAGTCTCGCTTTTTCTTACGGATTTTCTGTCTTTTGATAAAAGTATCTTTCTTTTGTAAATAAAATAAATTCTTTTAATATCGCTCAGTCTATTTTTCGATATAGCTCTTTCCCACCTTGAGTATTTCCCGTTTTTAATTTCTATGGTCAATTAGTTAGCCAATTACCATAGCTAACTAGTGTCACACAATTGCATGAAATAAAATTCAGCAGGTCACCATGACCATGTTTAAAAATGCCCATATCCATTTAATTGCTGCCACATCATTGGCTAATTAGAAATTTGGGTATTACTTAATTAGATTTGTTCACTATTAAAAAAAAATAAGGAAAAACTTTTGGAAATATTTTTTGTACATTAGCATTCTTTAGATCTTCCTTAGGCTGTGACAAGTCTCAGAATAAAAAAAATTTAGTCTTTTTTTTAGCATTTTAAAAAATTGGGAATCATTGATATCTGCATACTTTTTTTTAAATTTTCTGAATTGTTTAATATTTGTAAAAAAAAAAAAAAAAAAAAAAAAAAAAATTTTTTCTGTATGAGATTTTTTCAAAAGCACATACACAAACATTTGCTGTTAATAATTATTTATTTTAAATGAAGAATAAAATTTTACACTATATCGATATTATGAACAGGCCCCTTCTACAAAGATAAAAATCAATATTTTTCAATTCTAACAAGTGTCACAGAATCAGGAAAGTTTAAAGAATGCTAATGTGCAAAAATGATTTCCCCCAACCGATTTTTTTTTTTTTTTTTTTTTTTTTACAAGTGGACCAGTCTACTTAAGTAGTGTCAAAATTTGCATAAAATGGCATTTGTTCACATGTACCTAAGTTGCCAGTGAGTGTATATTAAAACTTCAGTTGGGTATGTTCTTTTTTTCATGATGAAAAAGTATTCCTAGATTCTAATGTTTCATATTTTAATCTTAAAAAACTAATAAAGAAGACACTTATAAGAGACAAACTTACATTTCTTCCACTTGTATATCCTTCAAAATCTGGCAGTAGTCAACATTCCAAACAGCCTGATCATCCCATACTTTAGATGCTAACAAAATGGCACCCAGAACAATGCGTTTCCAGTTTGAAGGAGAAATATCCATTTCAGCATAGGTTAAAAGCCTCTCAAGATAGACCTTAATAATACAAAACAGAAAATTTAGGGAAAATGTGTGATGCACCAAAAAATGAAACAAGATTATATTTAGACCAGCACATTAGTATTGATTGTTATACCTTCCAACCTTCTTCAGGTGTCTATTATACTCTAGAACTACCTTGAAATTTTGAACCAAAACCTTTATTTAATCTGCAGGTGTAGATTAGTTCCCATTCCAATATTTAGTTTCCCGGCGCCATGAGTTCAATCCTAGGATTGGGTAGTGCAAAAGAGTCATCTATTCTGGTTCAGTGGAGGAAACAGACAGGCAAATAGAACAGAGAATTTATGTGAGTTATCTCCCTTAAATATAAAAAGTGGAAGGAGAACATAAAATGAAATAAAAGTTTTGATTCAAAATTTTGAAAAGATTACCAAGTACCACCACGGACACCTGAACATGGCCAGATTGCACAACATCGTGAGTATAACAACCAAGTTGAAAATATTGGTCTAAAATTGAAAGCCATATAATGAGAAATCCTCATCTCATACATAGAATATTATTTTCTATAGAAAGTTATATATAATGTTAAAAAACCAAAAAGGTTTTACATACACACAATACTATTCTAGTTCATTACAGATGTTAGCGAAAAGCTGCTTTTATTAGTGACAAGATAAACTTGAAATTGTTGATTAACATAAGAATTTGCCACGGGATTCTTCCAAAGAAGAATATATTTTTTCAAGAGAAAAGGAAGTCATTGTTTTGCCAGATCTTGCAAGCAAAACTTTAAAAATATATATCAAAATAAAACACTTCAAAAATAGTATTCTTTTTCTTTTAAAGGAGATAAAATAATTATAAATATTGTAAATAACAAAATAATAGAAAATAACTATTTTTTATCTAATCCAAATTCTTATTTCAGAGTCAACTCCAGTCATGTAATTCTTTTTGCTAAGTTTTATTGAATAACATTTATATGGATATGTAAGCACAATGCTTGTGTAGACACAATAGTTACTAAATCCAGATTTTAGAAATGACTTTAGCTAGAAAGAAAAATGTAAAGTAAGCTCACCAAAGTAACAATGGCACATTCTGCAGTTAATTGGGCTGCTGTAAACAAAGTTCGGACAAAACGATAAATGGCTTTGTGTTCTGGATCTCTTTTATCATAATCTGGAGGGACAGCTTCTTTCTGTAAAGATGAAAATGTGAGAGGCATACATTGAAAAGAAGAAATTAACTATGCATGCATATATAACCTCTGAGTGAGGTTTTTCACAACCCAGTTTTATAGTCTATGCAAAAATATGAACATACTCTAAATTCTGTATATGTACATCATTGGAGCAATAAATAAATATTTATTTTATAGAAATGTGTTTTTTGGTTTGTCTTTTTTTGTTTTTTTACTTACAGACAATGGGTGGAGTTTCTCATCAAAGATGTCAAGATATCGAGCACTGTTGTCTGTTTGGCCATTTCGGTCACGATTTTTTATATGGAAATAAATAGCCAAAGCAACAGCCTTGATGGTGTTTTTCAAATTGGGTTGACTTACAGTTGAATCATCAATAAAAATTGTTGAACAAGAGCTGAATTTCTTAAGCTGTCCATGTTCTGAATTCTGTAGAGAACAAAATTAAAATAATAAGAGCAGAGAAAATGCTTCATCTAACAAGTGACACTAAGATGACACATTAGAACACAGCAACACAAAGGAACTGAAATGATAACTAAGTGGTTATAAAAGCAAAACTGAAACTAAATTCTATAATTAAAATTATTAAATGACATAGTTACATTGATTTATCCAGGGCGGGAGGTTGATACGAAAAAGGGTATGAATGAAATTCATAGAAATAATTAATATATTAAATGTAGAATGTGACCATGCTGCTTTTTGAATTAAATTGTATAAATGTTATGAGACAAGCATCTTATTAATAACCATATGGTGCTTTCCCACACAGAGAAAACAATATTCTATATAAAGTGCCAGAAACTGTTTTATAAAACCAATAGCTAAAAAAGGATTATATTTATTTTTTAAAAATAAGTTTCTGATTATGCAAATCATTGAACTAAAACAATTTTCAGATTTCAATATATTTCAATGTTTATATAAATTTATCATGAATCAGAAAAATCAATATAGAAAAATCACTGTGATTGCTTATCTCTCTTGATTTGAAACCCTTGGAATATTATGTCTCAGGTAACATCAAATAGGAAAGCCAACCAGCAGACCCATAGTATGAAAAACTCATTGAAGGTTATTATTGTAGATGGTAACATGAACAAAAAATTATCTGATCTGGGCATACAGTTGCTTTCAAGACTACTAAGAATGGTTTTATTAAATCTTACATATTTATAAGTCTACCATTCATCCAGGCTTTGAATATTTCTGCCATATACAATCTGGTGCTCCTACTATATATTTAGAGATTCTTGACAAAATCCAATGAAGAATCTGTATCTTTTCTATAAATACTAATTGTTCTGATAAACTTTGATCTATGGTACTTAAACTTTATGAACTTAAACACAATATTAGACTGACAAAAAGGTTTCACCATTTTACTGTTAAATTGGCTAGATGTAACCAAGTTCTTTTCTCACTCATTATCTACTGTTTTTGTGATTCCTTTTTTTTTTTTGTTCTTGACAATAATAATAATCTTTTTTTTATTCTTTCACAATCAGTAACCCCCTGTGTCTTAGTGGCTTTATTGCCTTGCTTGGAGTGAAATGATTAAAAAAAAAAAAAAAAAAAAAAGAAAAGAAAAAACTTAGTTTTTCTAAGTTGAACAGTTGTATAAATTTATTTGAAAATATGCACATTTTTTCTTTTCTATTGAATGTTTTCCTTTAGATTATAATTTGTTCTCAATTACCTGGCGCATCCTGTTTTCTAATCCATAATTTTTAAAAATGAAGGTAATTTAAAAATTATCACATTACTCATTTTTTAAAAGGTGACATTATATGACAGGATTATCTTTTCATCACAGGCCATCCATTCATAAAAAAAAAAAGATTTTCACACTCAACTGTGGCTAATAGTAGTAAAATCCAAGCACAATGATTTTCAAAATGACGATCAAAATTAAAATATACAGATGAGTTTCAATATTAAGTCTTCTACATCTGCCAATAGTATTACAAGAATCAATTGAATTACAAAAGAAGAGAGAAAAGAAAAAATTCTTTAATTCAAAAGTAAGAGAAATGACAAACTAAAATTCAAAACATCAAAAACAAATCTTTTCAGAATAAATTTACTTTCAACATTATATATACATAGAAGCAGTAAATAAACAAATATACTTTCATCATAATTCAAAAATATTTTAATGATAAAATAAGTTTTCAAAAAATAAAAATAAATAAAAATAGCTGCATTTTCCTAGTAGTTTTGTAATTTTGATAAAAGTAAAAAGGTTGGTTGGTTTAATTGTTAGTTTCTTTTTTTTTCTCTGTGCTCTCTTTAGGACATGGATGATCATGGCTCACCACAACATCCTATCTTTTGTACCTATCCTAATTTCTGATCAATTGTTTTCCATGTTTGCTGATAGAAATTTATCTGATAAAATAATCACTATATTTTTTGTTTTACTTGTTTACAAAATCATTTAATGAAAAATTCTAACAGCCAGGTTGGCTTGTATGGAATTTTACACTACTATTCATTTTTAGTTAGTCTTTTCTACAATTTATTATTGTTTTACTTTTGACCACAACTTTTGGGGTCAAATATCCTACAGTCATTAAAGTTGCAATAACAAAAAAGAATGAATACAAATAAGACTATGCAAAAATTAATAGTGAAGAAACTTCATCTCAGAATTCAAATAATTAAAGAATATTACTAGATAGTAAAAACGAGCAATATGGTATGAAGGTATCAAGTAATGAAACAGCAATCAGATTATAGTTTGCTGTCTTATTTAACACCATAGACCACAATGGTCAAATTGGTTAAGGTGAAGACCATGAAAGAAAGTCTAGTCTCGTCAAAAGCTTCATCTTTATTCTTCTTTCAAGGTAATTAAATCAACAAGTATTTGACCTAGAAAGGTATGATAAAAAAGCAACAATAAAATGAAGAGATAAAAATATTATAGAGAAAATCCTTAATCTTAATTTTCAAATAAATAAGCAAACTACAGTTTTAATAAGCAGAAATGTTAGTCTTGTAATACAAAATTCTAAAATGTCCTAGAAACATTTCAGTAAATTAAAGTGAAGATATATTTTGAGAATAATTCTGTTCAATTGACACAAAACTACAACCATTATAAAATGCTTTTAACAATGAATTGATGCAACTTGTGTGAATAAAGCAAAATGGAAATACTTTTTGATACTTAATACTATTCAAATAATTTATTTGTCAGTTAATGACAGTTTTTTCTTCTACTGTTTATATTGCAATGGCTGATATTAAATGATATTTGCATTTATGATCTTAAAAACTATAAAATGTTTCACATTTACACTTAATTCTAAATCACAATGGCATATGTGAAGCTTCTGTCACAAACATCAAGTGTGACAATGAAACAGGTGACGTTGAATGAAGTATTACAGCTACTAAAATGTATTGCTTGTGTCTTAAAAAAAAAAAAAAAAGAAAAAAAAAGAAAAATAATAAATAAATAAAATAAACAAATAAAATTTTTTTTCACCTGGTGATGAAGGTCATATTGGCTTCTACGCCGGATTTTGTTGTCTGAAAGTAAATAAAAAAAATTCCATGGATATGAAGTTAAGTTTGGAGGATAAAGACAAAAGTTATGTGTGGAACAACCTTAGAGTATAACAGGGCTATAATTTTTAAATGCATTAATTATATATATATTTCAGCAATTTTTCAGGAATTTGTCAATGCACTTAATTCAGTTATTAATCCTGTAGATTGAAAAGTATACAGTGAAAATTCCAGATCAAAATTAAACTAACAACTATGTGTCAGCCTATAGATTTATTAATCAAAACTTAGATGTTACACACACAAATAGATTGCTTAACAAAATCTAGTTGTTGCATGTGGTTGGTTTGGAATAATTTTGGGGGTTTGTCTTTTTGTTAATCACCAAATTTTAACTGTAATTTTTCCAGCCTTCCTCAGTGTCGATTATCTTCTGAGAATGCCATTAAATCTGAAAGAGTAAGTGTATCCCCTCTCACGCTCATCATGTCTGGTACCTGGTTTTTTTAAACCCCCGCCCCATTTAATTTTGCACATGCCTTTCTCCTTTCTCCGACCATGATTATAGAATCTAAAATTCCTCAATTGTTCTTTCTTGATTAACATTCCCCATAAACTACTAATCTTTACACTCAATCCGTTGATTGGGTTATCTATTTATAGATAACTATGCATAATTTAGATGAACTTGAGATTCCATGGGTATGGCTCAAGGGATATGAACATGTGTAACGTTCAACAAGAGAGAAGATAATCCCAAGAAGACACAGAGGCAGGCATTGGACATAGCAGGTACATGAAAAGGAAGCACATGCTCTCTCAGAATGAGATTTGACAACATTGCAAAATACAGTAGAGACACTAGGAGGCCCGAGGATAAATGCCCAAAATTTTGTGAAAAAACAACAAAAACAAAGAAATTAGTCCAACAACATACAATAATTAAAACACATTCAACAAAATGCAGACAAGAAAAACTTAATCTCAATAAATATTTTTATTCATTGCTCAAGTATACAGAGTGCGATAGGTAAATTGTCGCCATTTTATATTTTTAATTTCACATATGCATGTTGTTTGTTTTTGTTAACTGCACAGTATAGCGGGGTCAGTTAGGCAACGTCTGTGAGAAAAAGAGAACCATGGCCAATTCATTTCACCAGAAATTTGGAAACAGCATGTTGAACTGCTTGGCATTCATGCCAGAAGCTCCAATACAAACATTTCAGAATGGTTGGGTGCTAATCAGTGCAGAGGATTCGGAAAGAGTTGGATGAATCTGATGGTGATTACAAAAGTATGGCAGCTCTAAAAACTCACTCTGATCATTCTGATAAGAAAAGAACTCCTGGTCTATTTGTTTACACATACATTTATACACATATGTGCACATATACACACATACAGATTGTGATGGGTAAATTGTTGCCATTTAATAATTTTAGTTTTGTGCATGCACATTGTTTATTTTTGATTTTGTCAACTGCACAGGATAGTAGGGTCAGTTGGGTACCATTTGTTAGAAAAAGAGAACTATGACACAATTCACTCTGATCATTCTAATAAGAAAAGAACTCCTGAATTTGTTGGTGAAATCCAGGCCATGATTGACAATAATCCATCTAAGTCAATCAGAAACATAACCAGGGAAACAGGAAAGTGTGGGTTTCTTATCAGGCACATAGTGCATAAAGACATTCGGTATTTCTCATACAAGATGAGAAAGAACCAATTTTTATCCCAAGCCATGAAGGACAAGATGAGAGACTGCACTATGAAGCTTTTGAACAAACTCAAGCATCACCTCCATCTGAACATGCTTTGGTTTTTCTCAGACAAGAAAATTTTCTGCCAAGATAGTGAACACACACACAATTGTTGGCTTACTGTGTCTCAAAAAGATGTACTAAGAGTGATAAAAACGAAATATCCAGTCAATATTATGGTGTTTGGACTAATCACTAGTCATGGTGACGTTATGCCTCCATTCATCTTTCCACGGGGCCTCAGACTCAACACGGAAGCCTTCATCAAGTGCCTTGAGGAGGTAGTGCTGCCCTGCATTATAAGGGTGGAAGACACTATATCTGGCAACAGAATTATGCACCATGCTGCATAAGCAAGAGAACCCAGTCGTTGCTGGCAGACAATCTCTGCGACCACATTACCCCTTACATGTGGCCACCTAACTCCCCAGACTGCAACCCCCTTGATTATTATGTGTGAAGTGCAGTTGAGTGAAAAACCAACAAAACTCATTGCAACACCAAAATGAACTGAAAGCAAAGATTATGGCAGCAATCACCAAATTAAACAAAGAGACTGTCAAGAAGTGTTCCAGAAGATTCCAAAGTTACCTGGAGAGTTGAATAAATTTACTCTTTAGTATTTCAAGATATTTTTGTGTAATTTTGGTAAATATATGTTAAAATGAGTGGTCAGTGTTTCATTTTTGTATAATTTAGACGACAATTTATCCATCGCACCCTGCATAATGTTTTTTTTTTATAATCATCTCAAATGAGCAATGATTTTTGAAGTCAAAAAATCAGGTAACAGTCAAGACTCATAGAAACAAGTCAGTATTTGTATGCTTACAAAAATATTTGGCATCAAAAATTAATAGATTTATTGATTCCTACATGAGACTGGATGTGCAGGTGGTGTAATAGATAGTGGCTCAGAATGTAAAATCAAAGAGTTGAGTTTGTATTTCAGTTCAGTTCATTATATTCAGTTGTGCACAAATACACTTAAAAAAAGGTATGAATCTATCTCTTCTCACCCCAGCTATGGGTTAAATAGCAGTGTAGATTAGGTTCTCTACCATGGTTTGTACCAGCCTAGGAGAACAACTCTGAACCCAAAACTGTAACAACCAAATCATAGGTTGCATTTTTAGCAAGAAACAGCCCTTGGAATTCACTCCTGTCGAAGTTTTGGTAAAGATATCAGCAGCAGGGTGTTGTTGATTGTGGTCAATGGTAGAGAATTCAGACCAGATTTGTGCCATTGTACTGCAATGGTGTTATGCAATAAAATTTCCTTCATACTGGACAATGGATACGACCTAATTATTCCAAATCAGTTGGAAATAGCCAGAACCCCTATGATGACACACATAAACAGCACCAAGAAGAAGTGTGTGGATGCTATGGGGTACATCTTGACAAGCAACCTCGTCTGGACAAGAGACTGAATCAATTTTGCAGTGTAAAATATTTGCTGAATTTCGATTTGAAATTTTTACTGTAATATTTTATGCAATTAATGGAAGAGCATTGGATTAAGTGCACTGACAAAGGAAGAAATAAATATCCAAGTAAAATGTATTGATTTCCATCATTATCATACAGACTTATTGAAAAATGAGATTAGGATTTTGTTATTCCTATAAACAGGCAAATAATTATAATGTACATCAGGTTAGAAGGAAAAATAGTGATTTATAAGTAAGAATCATTTTTTTTTCTTGTATTTAAGAAATAAAAAGAATACTTACTCTTGAAATTGGTTTTGGAACGAGCAAGGAACAGCGTACGTGCTGTTGGGTTGTTTGAAGGGTCACCATCAATATCTAAAAATAATGAAAGACTGGATTCTTGAAATTGCACAAAAATTTTTAAACTTTTGATGAAAACAATCATCATAATAAAACAATCTGTTAATGCAACTTAAGCTCCATCCAGCAAATATTACATCTGAAAAGATTTTCAATTTTAAGTGGAAAAAATTCTGCACTTTCTTTATTCTCCAGATCTTACACAACTGTCTTGATAAACTAATTCTTAAAATACATTATGAAATAGGAATTAGTCTCTCCTCCTAAAAGTCAAAATAGTTTTTATAAAACCAATATTGTGAAGTTTGTGAATCATAAAAACAGAGTTATTGATAATGATGAAATATTTGTTGATGAATTTTATATATTTTCTGACCCTTTAATTTAGACATATCAGACAACTTGATATTTTACAACTAACTCCATTTGAAGCCCCCATCTGCACATGTAATTTCTGCTTTACTCCACTATTCCTCATCTTTTGCACTAACAAAGTATTTCTTACAGCAAAAAAAAAAAAAAAAAAATTGATTAAAAGCCGTTTTTTTTTTTTTTACTTAAAATTAGTTACAGAAAAAAAAAACAGGAAAAAAAAAAAACATTAAATATCACATATTAGGTAATAATAGTCTTGTACATTGTATTGATCAGGTTTACAAATCTTCTATGAGTTTTTTTTATGATTGTCTCAAACACTAAATCAAATGCTTCAATATGGAAAAAAAAGCATTAAAAAAAATCAATCTTAGTACAATTTATTTACTATGCATCAAAATGTTGATAATTTTTCTGTTTCCATGGTCAAGCATATCAGCTTGTAAAACAAGAGAGTTCAGGAGAAAGACAATAAATGACAACTAAGACAGATACTGAACTATTCAGACAAAACAACATCATTTGAAATACTGACACAAAAAAGAACTTTATGGACAATCCACAAAGTAAAAAAAAAAAAAAAAAATAACCATACGCTAACAAAATTTGAAACCAATCAATAAATAATGCAAAAACAGCAAAGAAATGAAACCAAATTAGAGTAAGATACCAGCTTTTAAAATCATTTTTTATAGCGTTTTAAATTTGCAGATTTTATAAAACCATTATTAGTGCATTTTTGTCATAGTGTCAGATAATACAATTTAAAATCTGGGATTACATGTAATTGAATCGATATATTCATAGCCTAATGATAAACGCATTTATTTTGCACAAAAATATTTTTCAACATAAAAAAAATTACAAGGAAGAAAATTAATTCATTGGTGAATATTAATCACATCAACATTATATAGTGAAAATTTATTAATCACAGCAACATTATATAATGAAAAATTCAGATAAAAGTTCAGCAATTAACTGTGTCAAACTATGAACTTATTAATCCACCCTCATAATATCAGAAAGATTTGAACTCATAAATTAAGTTTAAAAAATTTTAATTAAAAAAATATGAACTTCTGCTCTGATGAAAGTTAATATACACAAAGGAATTCATTCAGCAACAACATCATAAGCAACAATCTGTTTTTTTTTCTTTTTTATGCTCTGCCAGTTCTCAATTTTAGGTTGATTTTTTATTTGTTTGTTTGTTTGTTTTTTAAGATATCAGCCAATCACATGACTTCAATCCAGGTTTATTAGACATATTGTTTGTTATAAGGAAACAAACTCAACTTTCAAACACAAAAAAAATTTGATGTCTAAACATCAGTTTAAATACAATTAGGAAACATTAAGATACATCCATATTAAAAGCTTCTTCTTAAAACAAGAAGTCTTCTTTTAATATTTGCCCTTATACTATAATAGCTATCATTTTTCAATAAAATGATACCTTCACCAAAATTGTTCAAAACCTATTTTTAAACCAGATATCACAAAAACTTGAAAAATAAAGTCTAAATATTGCAATAAAAATGATTACATTTTTACCATATTGTTGGGATGAAACAACCAAAAAAAATAATTTTATAAACTTCTATATAAAATCTATGATATATTTTATAGTATTTTTATTACTTGCTCCTTAAGTTTTAATGACTTTTCTACAAAAACATTAATACAAAATTCTAATATTTGAGATGTTAGTCATCAGCTCTTCACATGAATTTAAATTATTAAAATCTAAGATGATTAGACAAGGCAAACCTGATTTCATAAAAATGTTCACTTCCCCTCAATAGGTGAGGTTATTCAGAGCCACTTTTCAATTATGTTTTACCAATGAGCAGAACGCAGACTATAAAAATATTACATTCAAAAATTGAGCACAGGTGCAATTTCGAACAATAAAACTAGAAGAAATTGGGTTTATAATATTATTAGTCAAATTATGTTTTATGGTAGAGTGACTTATAACAGCTGTGTTATACCAAATAATAGGTTTCCTTTGACTTTCAAAGCTTTTTAATATTAGAATAATTTCTTTCAATTTTATTTACATCAATTTATCAATTTTCACACTTCAAATAACACTAGTTTCAAAAGATAGATAAATGTGACATCATGGTGTATTGACTTTCCCTTTATGGTAATATAGTTTTTAAAAAAAACTTATTAAATAAGGTGTCACAGACAACCAAGATTTATAATTGATGTCACTTTTTAACATACAAAAGAACCATACCATATCCAAGAGGAACCTATAATTATACAATGCACAAATATTCATCACCCTGAAGTATTTCACATATTCAGTCTCTTATGAACTGACAGAGAAACACAGAAGGAATATGTTGACCTTACAATATCAAACTTTCAACACATTCTTATACAGACATTAAAAAAGACTATATCATTTATAATGTCAGGTGTAGAACAGATTAAAATTCGTAAAGAGTATATTTGATAAGCATCAAAGAAAAAGTTTGAATGATTTAAGAAACATGAATTTTTAACTCATAAATCTAATCGTGAGTTATCTGCCCATAATCACATTAAACTATTATATAACTTCGCTGAAGTACCCAGTATGGACGAGTAAGAGGACAAGACTCAGATTGCAGCTGGTTATAATAACAATAGAACTATTCTTTAGTACTGTAATGGTGAGCGGTGAAGTGCCTGTCAGTTATGTGAAACTGCAGGATGTCTTGTCCTCAAAAATAGGCTCATATAACATTGCATACCAAAAGGTGAAAGAAATAAAATGAATACCTAAGACATGTCTATTTTACAATAGCTTTGTTATTGTCATAATTTACGTGTCAAGGTTCATTTTCAGAAACAACAATTATGTTCAGTAACTGCATATTAGATAAAAATGATTTCATTTTTTGGTAAATATCCAATGAAGATATACTATGAAAAGTAGAACATTTTTTACTGAAAAAAACTGTTCTTGAAAATTACATACAAATATTTTCTCTTCAGGTATTAGCAATGAGAAAAAGAAATTATAATCTTACACCAAGCAAGGTTAATTGTTACTAGAAAACATATTTCCATATCTGCCTTTATTGATGATAAACAAAAAAAAAAAAAATTACATTAAAAATTTCCTTGCATCCAACAATTATACACACCAAAGCGTTTTGCCATGTATAGCAAACTTCCTTTTATTATATATATATATATATATATATATATATATATATATATATATATACACACACACACACACACACACACAGGTTGACATACCAAAATCATGTGATAGTATTGTGTAGGACTTCTTTAGCTCAACAAAGGCCAACAACTTGACATAACATCAATTCCACAAGTGGCCTGAAGACTTCTATAGAGATACTGAGCCATGTCATCTTGATAATTGTCTACAGCTGTGATATTTGTATATACAGGAACCTTCATGTAAATAGACATCACATCCCATGGGCGTGCAATTGGGCTACATCACTTGTTTAAAGTCCCCAGAATACTCTTCAAACCAATTCTAGGCAACTTGGACCTGCTGGAATAACCCATTGCTATTTGAGTTCATACAGTCTATGAACAGTGCAAATGGTTATTAAGCATTGTAATATGGCAGTTGCCAAGTCAATGACATGTTTAAGTGAACCAGCAGACTCAACACATGCTACATGAACACACCTCACCATTATAGAGATAACACCCATCTATATAACACCTTTTTGCCAGCTGTGTTCTATGGCCTCATGAGCTCTGTGCTAATTCTAAAACCAAGCAACAGCCCACTTGCTTGGTACCTCCCACACTGAATTCTACATATATTTCTAGCCAGACACATCTGGTCATGATCATTAAAGACCTACTGTCAGCCACTGTTCTATCTATAGTGGACAGTAATGCTTCTCATCAGGTATTTCAGGTATATATATATGGACCTGTAGATTGAACAATATCAGATATCTTCACAATTTCATATCACATCCATCTGGCAACAACCATTGCTCTGGTCAGACTGATAATTCATGTTGCATTGCCATAAGCAGCCTAGATGTTAAAATCACAACAGCTATAGATCTGACGGCGACACCACCTATATACTGTTATGCCATGACTTTTGGCACATCAGTATGTACATATAGTAACAAATAAAATTAAATATTTAACTTTTCTGTCCTAACTCTTTCACAGAAATAGTGTTCACTTGTCAGCCCTCTGACAAGTGGAGGCTATCTTTGTTACATACATAACAAAGATTTTGTTTTGTCACAAAAGATAGTGTCCGCTCAAAATTATATATATATATATATATATATATATATAATGTATGTATATAAATAAAATGAAAGAACAGTAAGATATATAATCCGGTGTTCTTATAGATATTTTTACAAAATAGTGCTCAATGTAAATTTACAGAGCATAATATTATAAATTAATTGATTTAAAATATGTTTTTTTTTGGGGGGGGGGGTTCCACTACACAGTTCTAACCATGTTTCAAAAATAGAAGCTAAAAGCCCCAAATTTAATTTTGCAATTAAATTAAAAGCATTAGTTCCATTTCATCCTCAAGCGAATTTTGGACTAACTTTTAAAAAATTACTGGGTTTTAAAGACACAGCTAAAATCACGTTTCCATGGTTACA